GATCGTATGTAGGGTTTTCACCGTAAAGAAGAAAGTGTGGGGTAAAGTGGTGGATGGCACGGGAAGGGTGAATGTTGAGATGGCTGTTGGCAGTGTGGAGAGCTTCAACCTAGAATGGCTGAGGGTGATGTGCTTGGAAGAGCAGGGTGCGGACCACGTCATTGGTTGTACGGATATGGCACTCCGCTTTGCCGTTTTGTGGGAAGGTATGCGGGCACGTAAGGCGAAAGGAAATACCATTAGTGGAGAAGAACTCTCGGAGTTGGGTGGTGAGGAACTCACTGCCATTGTCACACCGCAAGCATTGCAATAAAACATGAAATTGAGTGAGGACAAAAGAAAAGAAACGTTGTAACGTGGCGCATGTGTCGGATTTGGCACAGAGTGGAAAGACCCAAGAATAATGTGTGTGATCATCCAAAATAATAAGATAGTACTTGTAGCCCGAAAAACTAATGCTCGGTGAGGTCCACAAATCGCAATGCAAGAGTTGAAATGGCACGGTGGTATAAGAGGTAGAGGTAGGAAACGGAAGTCATGTGTGCTTGCCCAATTGGCAAGCGGTACAAAGTGGCGACAAGGAAGCTTTATTACATCTTGGTGGAACATCAAAGGGAAAATAAAACTAATGTAGAGGAGTCCGAATTGCCGAGCCGCTTATGCCAAAGATCCGATGAGGTGGTAGTGAAGGCCACGAGAGGGGTGTCGCCGTGGTTGCCGAAGAAGCGGTAGAGGTCGCCGGAGCTATTGCACCTCAGAAGGACCGCCTTGGTTTGAAGGTCCTTCACAGAAAAGCCGAGGGGGTCAAACTCCACGGAACATAAATTATCGCGAGTGAATTTGCGGACGAAAATAAGATTTTGAATAACATTAGGTGAAAGTAATATATGAGTAAGATAGAAGGGTCGAGGAGGGAGGCGAGTGTTACCAACGGCAGCCACCAGAAGACGAGCCCCATTGCCAACAATAATATGATGAGTATTATGCGCTAATAAAGGATGAGACTCGTCGAGGATACCTGGGTTCCCAGTGACATCGGATGACGCGCCCGTGTCCATAATCCACTCGGCTTGAGCAGGGAAGGCCGCCCCGTAGCTTGGCGCAGAGTGGAACATCGCCGAGGCGTCCCATGAGTACGGCGTGGAGTAGGGCACGGGCGGAGCAGAAGGCTGCATCACGGGGTAGGCGTGCGTGGGCGCGCCAGGGCGGGGGCCGAGGACGCCGGCCGAGTTCGGCGGGATCCAAGGAGCACGCGGTGGGGGGAAGGGCATGCCCATGGGCGCGAAATACCCCAGCCAGGGTTGCTGGGTGGCCCAGCCACCGCGGGAGCGTCACCGCGACCACGGCCACGGCCACGCCCCTGCGGCCACCACCACGGTTTCTGCCACGAGCAGCGCGGTCAGCACCGCGGCCAACTCCACCACCGCCAGGAGGGCCGCGGTCACCCCCGCCTTGAGCAGAACGATAGCCGCGATCGCCACCGCGGCCGCCGTTGCGGTCACCACCACGATTGTTGCCGGAGTGGACAGCAAGGATCTGCGCGCCCTCGGCGCGCGCCCGCTTGTCGAGGGCGAGCTCGGCTAGCACCAGACGGGACCGAGCTTGGGCGAAGGTGGGCAGCGGGACGGTGGACTGGATGATCGCCGCTTGGAGCTCGAATTTCTTGCCGAGACCGTCCGACATCTGCAAGGTAAGGGTACGGTCGGTGACCTGTTCCCGAACATCAGCGAGGGCCGCAGCGAGGCCTTGGAGGCGGTGGAAATAGTCATTGATCGACTGGTCCCCGCGCACGGCCGCCCGGAACTCCTGGCCAAGGTGCATCACAAGCTCTGCCTCGTTCTCTAGGAAGTACTCGTGGAGGTGCCGCCAGATGGTGTAGGCGGTGGAGCCCGCCGGTGCGACGACGTCGAGAAGATCGCCGGCGATGGTGGCAAAAAACCATAGGACGATTGTGTTGTCGTCATCACGCCAGCGCGGGTTTGAGAGGGGTGCAGCGGCACCGTCGCGGATGTGGTCGTCGGCGTGGAAGCGGACGAAGATGAGATTGATCATTGAAGTAGTTTCTCCAGCGGATGAAGTTAGCGCCGTCGAGAGAGAGTTTGAAATCGACTATGTGGGAGATACTGGATGGGAGGGGTTCAGCCGGAGCAAAGGTCACTGCGACGGCGAGGGGATGGTGGTAAGGGGACTGGTGGTGAGGGGCAGGTTGCCGGACGAAGGAAGGTCAGGGGTGGGCGCTGCGCGCGGAGCCGGGGGAGAAGCAGCGGCCGCCGCTTCCGCAGCAGCGAGGTCGGCAGCCAAGAAGGTTGTGATGCCGCCGGTGTTGTCGGCATCGGTCGGCAGAGGGGAGGTAGGGCTAGTCTACATGGGTAGGGAAGGAAGAACCAGCTCTGATTACCAAGAAGAATGGTGTAACCCTGTGCGCACTGTATTACTCACAGAAAGAAGATACATATACAGAGAAGGCAACCTCCGATCCCTACATGCAAGATCGTGGAGAGGAGGTGTCGTGAAGCTAGCCAGCTACACCGTCAGGACTAGGTCCTGCCATTACACCCGTGGATAACTCAGACACATATACATGATAATGATACAACTCAACATGTTCATCAAACGTACATACTATATAGATCATCAAACGGAGCATATTCATCAAACGGACATACTATATAGATCATCAAACGGACATACAAATGCTACATAGATCATGATCATCAAACAGACATGAAATGGATATAATTCACATAAACGATCATCAAACGGGCATAATTCACATAAACGATCATCAAAGATGTCCACAAAGACAAATTCTAACTAGATCAGTAATAATGAAAATATACACCGAATCAACGGGCATAATTCACATAAATGATCACCAAAAGATGTCCACAAGCACAAATTCTAACTAGATTAGTAAAACTAAAATATAAAGACATCAACGGGCATAATTCACATAAACGATCACCAAAACATAATTTACATAAACGATCACCAAAAGATCACCACAGTTTAGCTGACGGACAAATTCTAACTAGATTAGTAATAATGAAAGTTAAAGACGAAGAGAGCGCTGACGGACAAATTCTAACTAGATTAGTAATAATGAAAGTCAAGACGAAGAGAGCGCCGAGCTTCACCACTTTCACGCTAGCCCTTTCATCTGGGTAGGCGTCCAGAAAAGGACGATGAAGCCTTTCATCCTCCGAACGACGCGGTCATGTGGGGTCCTGCTTTGGCTTGACGACTCTCATTGTGTGCTTTTGGTTGAGCTTGGCGACTCGCCACGCGGGCACAAATCCAGGCCCTGCTGGAGCACCTTTATGTTCTTCCTCCAGAGCCGGTGGGCACAGCTCCAGGCCCAGCTGGAGCACTTTTGCGTTCTTCCTCCAAAGCCGGCTTGCGTTCTTTCTCCACAGCCGGCGGACGTCCATCTTTGTCGTCATAAGTGAATGGCGGCAAACCCACGCTAGGAGCCGCTCCTCCTCGTTCGGCATCCCACCGTGCGACAGCCTCCGATGTGGTGGCGGCTGACTCCATTGCCAGACGCCTCTCGCGGTGGGCAGCGCGCCTTCGATTCAGGCGTGCATGTCCTCGGCATTGGTAGAGCGGCCACTAAAACCCTTCGCTGCCCTGCCGGACACTAGTGGGAAAAAGCCTTAGTAGTGGCGTTCCACAAACGTGGTTACTGGCGCGGAAGCCAAACGCTAGTAGTATAGCGCCGAGGACATACACCGGTAACATGAGGTGTCGCAGTAGAGCCAGAACTGCCGCCCTTGTCCCCTCGCGACCATTGAAACGTGATGCGGAGGGCCAGCTTGTCCTCGTCGCCAGCCGCGTACGAATGCATCCCAGTCGTCATCGTTGGAGTGGCTGCCGATGCCGGACATAAAAGTCATTACCAGACACCTCATAGTCCACGGACATCTCATACAGCTGAGCGAATAATGTCAAAGCCTAAAATAAATCAGGTAATATGATAATACGTGGGCATTGATATCAAATCTAAGACTTTGGGCTAGTTTCGCTGCGATGAAATCTAAAAACCATAGTACGTATGTAATCTTTGTTTAATCTAAGACATGCTTAGTTTGCACACCTGATTGGGATGCCGTAATCTTTCGTCTATTTTACCACAGATATTTTACTCGAGATGTGCGCCATATTCCTTTTCTTGCACTTAGACCTGTCAATATGTGATACTGTTTAAGTTCAAAAAAAAAATATGTCATACTGTTTCGTCTATTTTCAAACAAGAAGCCTTCACTCTGCTTCAATCGATAGTTCTGGACTCAACTTCAGTTAAAAACAACAGTTTTGCTAAAGCACATCTAAATATGCTATAAGTATTGCACATCTATTTCAAAAAAAATCCTATGTCATTAATTTTACGCTAAGATTCATGCAAGCATTTTCTTTTATTTTTTTTCTTTTTCTTTCTAGCTTGATTGAATCACTTAGATGTGCCCTAGATAAACCTGTCTGAAGACAAGACAATCATTTCAGAGCCAAAGAAGGGTCATGTGGTCGAATCTGGTTCCTCAATGGACTCTGGTCATCCGTTTGGCATTTTACTGCATAGGCTAGGGGTAGGTAGATCCAGCAACAAAATTCCCTAGCAACCGCAAAAAAAAAAATCCCTAGCGTAATATGGATATCACTACTAATCAGATACAAGTAGGTTTTACCCCGCAAAAAAAGATACAAGTAGGTTTTGGCATGCGATACGCTGGCTACAATGTACAATATTCAGAACTCTGCCCGAAGCACAGCTGGTGTGCGAAGAAAACCGGTCGCGAAAGCGCGCGGTGTCAAAATCCGTAGGCAACAGAGTAGGCCAAGCAGCCTACTGAATTTCAGTCGCCCCGTTTTCATTTTGACAGAAAGACTATAAGGGAGGCCCCTACGGTATAATTGGTACAACGAACCCAAATTGCAATCACTATGCCTTGAACCTGGGTGGGTGGAAAGGCATCAACCCCTTTCTAGCACTAGGCTATGACTCAGTCTGCTTCCTCGCCCCATTTCTCCTTGGGTATCTCACCAGAGTCAGTGATCAGCACCTTCTTCCTCGGCTTGCCGTTGTAAGTGCCTGCGCCCCCTTCAATGGCGTAGACATAATCCATTCCCTGAATCACCCTGCCAAAGACCACATGCTCCCCATCCAACCTGCAGCGCTTGCCATTTCAGAAGTCGTAGATTGGTCAATGTTAAGTTGAGTGCAGACATATGGTGTAATCGAGCTTACCAGCCTGTCTTGATTGTGGTTATGTAGAACTGGGATCCGTTGGAATCAGTTCCAGAATTTGCCATAGCAACAACACCTGCAAGATCACAAGGTAACTCCAATTTCAGAAACAGGGTATTCACATTACGAGGTATTTAAAACAAGGCAGAACATGCCGAAAGAATATTGAAGAACAAACACCACGTAACTTAGTGTAGTGATGCACACAATCATACACACACCCACTTCCAGCTCTATTTTCAGTACTCATCTATGCCAGAATGTACCTTTTAAGTTTAACACTGAGAAACCCCACTAGGTGTATTTTGCGTACTTTCAATTGTGTAATGTAGTGGTCAATCTTGCCATATGAGGGCTGAAAAATTAGGAGCAAACGGGATTTTGCAGGCGTACTAGTGCATTAGTACACCCAAAGGTGCTCGTGGACATTACATGTGGCCCTCAAGGATCAAGGTTTTACACTACTGTCTCATTGGAACTTGCTTCGTCGCCAGATGTAGTGTTTACCAGCTTCAGTGATGCACCAAGGCCCCAGTTCAATCTGCTTGGTCGGCTTGAGGCTGAGAAGACAGTTGCCTCAGCTAAGGAGACAGCATTTCCTTTTTCTCTGGTACGTTTGCTTTAATGCTAAAAGTGTGAGGGAGCTCTGTAGATAATATTTATCTGAGTCTCTGAGACAATCTCAAACAAATAGTTCAGAGCCTCATGCAATACGCCAGCACTTACGGAGGACAGACGAAATAATAAAGATAGCCTATGTAGGAACTTCGCCAGTGGCGGTCACAAAATAGATGGTAGTTGTCTTCATCTCTACTCCTAAAAAGGAATCAGTTGGTCGTGATGTTGTGTCTGACATCTATCGATTTCGACCGTCAGATCTACATCCAACATATGCCAAGCCAGCTGTGGCACTTTTACAGAGAGACACCCGCCACTCCGCTCCATGCTTTTGCACAAAACCCCTCCTTCACTCTCGTGCAGCCCCATCACTCCACCTCCAGCCAGCCATGGAGCTCCGCTCTGGCGGTGGCCACCGCCGGCGTCGTCCACTCCCGACGCCTCACATGCCTCCTCTCCCTGCAGCCTCCCAACCCTCACATCCCTCCACCACCACCACGGCCCGCCATCCCTTCTCCAAACCATCTCCTCCACCTCCTACATCTCCTCCCACGCCATCCACGGCGCATCTCCTGCCTCCTCATCTATCCTAGCAGTCCCATCGCCCACCATCACCACCACGCCCCCTCCTCCTTGCTGTACCCTCCCCCCTACCCGTGTATGAGCCCGCCTTCGCTAGCTACGGCCATGGTCACCGTTTCCATAGTTGCTTAGACGATGGCAGCACATCATGGAAGTTAATCGATTTGGCGGCCTTCCACCCCTAACGGCAGCCGGCTCTCAAGATCCTCGCCCATCCACGTACAGATTGCCTTGCTTCAACGATGCTGGTCACTGTATGAATACTAGCTGCTCGATAAATGCCAGAGTATGTATACTGCCTTGTACGTGTGGTATAAGCCTCATTCAGTTGGTAGATGCAATTTTCATGTGATTTTGTTATAAAATTACTGCATATGTTATGGATTAGTTATTTCAAAAGATATAATCTTCTTGCTCACATTGTGCGAGGCAACATCCTGATGACGGGAGATTGAATTCATGCTCTTAAAAATTATCAACTTATTATAACTTCTTTCAAAGAAATTATTAGCATTCCCATGTATATGCGCATATGCACGTCAAAAATTGGTCCCTTGAATTGAAGTTGCTTGTGAGATTTTGCAAAAGCTACTAATATCAGCTATTCTGCTCGTATTACAATTTCTCCAAAGATATTGATTTTTCATTGTACTGGACTCTCCTGTTAATTAAACTTCACAGAAAAGTCGGTCTCAATGGTGCAGAGGAAAGGAGAAGGGAATTCAGTATGGAGAATAGGAGGGAGGACAGATCCGGAAGCACCAAGATAAATAAGTGAGCTTCGCATTAGCTCATAGTCCCAGAGGAGGACAACGCCCAGGCTACCCATCCGGGGAAAGTATCGGGTGCTCCCAACCTTGAGGTACTCCCGGTGCTCCAATGTAAAAAAAAACATTTTTAAATGTTTCAAAAAATTCCGGAAAAAATGTGAATGTTCACAATGAATGTGACTAAAACCCCTAAAAATTTCAGGTCCAAAATCGAAACGCAAATTGAGAAACAAAAATGTGAAATCTAGCATGAATAGTGTAAAAAAAAAAGCAACACTGACACTATTCACATCTGGATTCAAGGCTGGGAGGACCCGATACTTTCCCTACCCATCCGTTCATTCCTGCCAACCTTGTTCTACCCAACTCCCTGGGTGGGTTAGTTTTGTGTAAGCCTGGCCAATCTTTCTCCGCCTCGTACCTCTCTGATCCGTTCATGCTTGCTTAGGTCCTAGGTTGCATCTTTATCTGTGTTTTCATTAGAGCGCAGAAAAAACATCATTTGTACTTTAGATCTTGTTTTGCTGCACTTTAGCTTGGAGAGCACTTGTCCTTATCGTTGCTATTTTTTCTTAGAGTTGCTACAGCAGTTGGTACACGAATTAGTTGATTATATAAGGCAACATTGTTGTATTTTTCATAAAGAACCGATTACATATCATTCTATTCTCCATTTTCCAAGTTCTTCCTCCATTTACCCGATTCATTAAGATATAATTCGTGTGTGTGAAAATACTAAATTAATTTGGATTTAGGTGAAGTGAACAATGGGAGGATGGTGGAGACCTTGGAGCTGGAGAAAAGACATCGCATATTGTGGCCATCATTTATTGTTGATTTGTTGAGTTAGACATGACATGGTTTATTTTGTACATTATCCTGCCTTTGTTTCAAAACTATGTTGGGGTCACAATTCCCAGGCATACGGGCCTACATTTGAGAAACTCTCTCAACCTTGCATAGCTAATATCAAAAGAATGATATACAAGCTGGAGCAATTACATTATTAAGGTTAGAAACAATCTATTCAGAACTGATTATTGGATATGTGCATGTTTGAATTTCGCATGTACAGTATGGTGAGGCACCTATTTTCAGTACAAACAGATCTTTTAGTTCCTTTTTTTAGTGAATTGTACCTGCATGGTGACTTTTGTGATAATACTTTCATGTTTATATGTGTATTTCTTAATAGCTTCATCTTTGTTGTGTTGTTTCCATTGTATTCGATTGTTACTGATTTCCCTGTATTGGATTGTTGCACCTATTTCTCTGTATTACCGTCTCGGCAGTATGACTAAGACATGAGTGCCACACATGCTATTGTAACACCTTCATTGACAAAACAATAGTTAGCACTTATGTGCTTATATGCATCAATGGCCTGGGGAGAATTGTTAAGGTTTGTAACAGTCTGATGAATTCAAGTACGAACAGAACAATAGTTAGAACACATGCTACTGTGATGAATTCAAGTACGGACCTTGGCGAGAATGAACAACATAAAAGTGTGTGGCGCTAACAGTGCAGCATGCAAAAAGAAGTCAAACTCCTTTAACCCTCACACGTAGTTATTATGCAAATCATTTGTTTTCTTTCTTGTAAATATTGTACTAACTGATTCATGATCTGACTTATTTTAACACAACTGCATGGTTATAAGTTTGAAATTCGAAGCGTGGGTGTGGGAGAATTGGGGGATTGTGAGACGGATGTGCCATCGACTATTAATCACGAGCTTGCAATGGGGAGGTCGGCATAGTCGATGCAGGAAAAAGAATGGGGATTTAACGGTAAAAGCTGACAATGTTGTTTGATGTGCACGAGAATCCTTAAAGCATATGTCTAACATGATTAGTGTTGAACCAGTGAAAATATATGGCCCCGCGGCAACACATGGGCAATTAACTAGTAGAACATAAGTGTGTTACTAAGTTGGTATATAACTAAAGGCAAAGTTAAAACTGAACCGAAAAAAAGGAATCCCTGGTTGCACATCTGACCTGGATGTGTATGTTTCACACTGAAATTCTCATCTGGGAAGGTGCCTCCATATATAGATTCGCGTGCTTTCCCATCACCTCTAACTATGTCACCACCCTGAATCATGAAACCTGGGATGATTCGATGAAATGGTGTTCCTTTATAGTGAAGAGGTTTACCCTTGGGCCCATCACCCTTTTCACCTGCAATAATGAACAAAGTACAATATGAAAAATCACCTCAAGGAAATCAAGTAAGACAGCATGCAAACAATTCAAGGAAGAACAATACCTGTACAAAGGGCTCTAAAATTTTCTGCAAAATGCAGGAATAAAAAATATCAGTACCGAAAATAAACTTCATAAGTGAAAGATAGTATTCCTATATATTACTAAACTGTTCCTTTGGCAAGATATTTGAAAGGTGGAAGATATTTAGGATAGTTCATCTGTTGACGCCTCTTTTTCATTATTAACAACCACAGACATCTTAACAAAATGAATGGAAAGTTGCAAACAAGCAGACAAGGTTGGGGTGTAGGCATGCATCTACACATCAGTCTTCCTCCACTAAACTACTGAGAACAATGACCATCCAATCAATTTCCAGTTTTCGCCATTTTATAGTATCTAACAAGGAGCACAAGACCTCAGCATAAATAACTTTTTTGTACGAAAGATTTTATTTCACAACAGGATAACCATGCAATCTTTGACTAGGTCGTTACCCCCAAAGAGTTATATGCTTCAATAGGAAAATATAAGCATGAGTAGAAAGAGAGACAGAGGGTGTGAAAATACCAACTGTCTTTGGCACAACTTCCCCATAAAGACCAATGACAATTCTACCTGTAACAACAGGCCAGACAAGAATTAGGGCAGCCAGAAAATGGTTGTTAAGAATATGTGCTGTTACAATGCAAAGTACAGCGTGACATCAGAAGAAAAATGATGTTATGAAAGAAGGATATACCTATATTTTGGCCATCAATTTCCACGTCCAGGTATACCCTGTGAGTAACTGCTGGTAACTGAACATATGCAGCCCTCTGTCCAACATGAAAAGGAAAAAAATGGTAAATGTTCTGTAATCCTGAATCATCAGTTCATCACCTGGCTAGTCACTGCTAGCAACAAGGCAGTCGCGGTAGTCATGAAAAGGAAAAATGTCCGCATCACGAAGCCGCTACCAACAAGGCAATGAATGGACTAGGTACAGACATGCACATTGAGAATGGAGCAGGAAGATCCAGTCCGATTCCGCCTTATCGACACTCCCTACGAGACTGAACTACCAAGCACGGAACGGCCGCACCAGATTCAGGCCTGTTTCTAAGGCACAACCGGACCAGACCAACCAACCATTGGAAGCTCCCGGAATGGGGAAGTGCGCGAGCCGTACCTGGCTACGGGGGTAGGAGGAGAAGGCGAGGTAGAGCACGAGGCAGGCGAGGAACCCGACGGCCGCCTTCCGCAGCATCGCGAACCCCGAGGTGGCCGGGGGCTTATCTCATCAAAAATCGTCGCGAGTCCGGCGCGAATCTGCTCGCGGTTTCGGGGGATTCGCGGCGGAGGCGAGATCGGCGACGGAGCAGAGAGACGCCCTCCTCCGTTTCGGTACAACAGGCCTGGATTTCTGGGGCGCGACTATGTCTCGCGTTAAGCGAGACGAACTTCCGCCTCGCAGTCGACCGAGCGTATGGGCCGGCCCATTAAACGGAACTCCAGTGCCTCGTTTTTGTTTCTGTTGTTTTACTTTTTGAATTTTTTTTACCTTTTTTTACGATTCCAAATATTCTAAAGATATATATTACAAAAATATACTTTACATAATGTTTTGAAAAAAATTAATCAGGCATTTGAAAAATGTTAAACGTCTACAGAAAAGTTGACCATGTATTAAAAAATGATAATTTTTTTTATAAAGTATATAAAAATGTTAATCAAGCATTTGGAAAAAATGTTGAAAAAGTATCACAAAACTGTTAATAAAGCATTTGGAAAATATTAAATGTGTTTTAAAAAACGTTGACCACATATTAAAAAAATGATGAACAAGTATTTGAAATAAATGTCGAAAAGTATTGGAAGAAATGTTAATCAAGCATGTGAAAAATGTTAAACATGTATAGAAAAAATGTTGAACATGTATTTAAAAATTATGAATTTTTTGATCATATATATATAATGTGAATCAAGCATTTAAAAAAACAGAAAATGTTAATCAAGCATTTGAAAAATGTTAAATGAATAGAAAAAATGTTGGTCATGTGTTAAAGACATGTTGATCTTGTATTTGAAAATGTTAATCAAGAATTTGAAAATGTTTAAAAGTGTGTATAGATAAATTTTGATCATGTATTCAAAAAAATATTAATATTGTATTTGAAAATAGTTAATCAAGCATTTGAAGAATGTTGAAAAATATGTATATAAAAATGTTGACAATATGTTAAAGATATAAAAATGGTATTGGAAAAATGTTAAACATGCATGAGAAAAATGTTTTGGACATATATGAAAATGTCGAGTGAAAACAAAACAAAAAATGGAGAAAGAAAAAGGAAAACAAAAAAACGGAGAAGAAAAAAAATATAACCAAACAAAAAAAGAAGAAAAGCCTGTCAAAAAAAGAAAAAATAGGGAAAAACCCAATGAAAACCAATGGAAAACCCGGTTTCATTCGCCTCAAGTACACAACGCGCCTAGGGCATATCTAGTGCAAGACATCGGCGCAGTGGCTAGCAGAGCAAGTCATCTAAAAACAAAAAAGGTGGTGTACCAATTTACATATGGCTGGACACGAGGACATCTAAAAACACACACGTGCAGCCTCTGTTTGAAGCAAACATGCCATTCCTTGTTTTGGTGTGCTAGCTGATCGGCACATATCTACATCGACGCAATGCCCGGTCTGCAAGTTGCATCGTGAGGATGTGGCACACGCACTTTTCGGTTGCGTTCGGGCTAGAGGAATCTGGTCTAAACTTGCACTACAAGAAAGAGTAACAGAGGCCGGACCACCAGGAGTTTCGGGAGTGGAGATTCTGGCGACCTTGTTATGTGATGAATCGACCACGGCAAACTACACAAATGTGGTTGAAGTTCCAGAATTGATCGCAGTTACTAGCTGGCATATATGGTGGCAACTAAGGCAAATAGAAAAAGGAGAGGAGGTGCAGAACCTGGAGAGGTCAAGTCAATCCATACTGGCTATGGCACTCAATTTTGCCCGAGCAGCAGCTCCGAAGGTGTCCTTGCCAAAAATTAACACATGGCTGAGACCACTAAACGGCCAACTGGTTTTGAATACGGATGCTTGTTTTCTGGATGATCATACTGGCTCATGTGGTGCTGTCATCAGAGATCATCTGGGCTATTTCATTGCGGCATCCACAGCAAAACTTGACCATGTGGCGGATGTTGTAACAGCTGAAGCAGCTGCGCTATTGGAGGGGCTTAAGCTTGCTCAATCCGTTGGTGCACATATCCTTGTAGCTCGGATGGACAATGCCACTTTGGTGGAGGCGATGGCAAACAATTCTGGACAAGATACAAGATATGGTGGAAGGACCCATTCTTGTGGATTGTCGTTCTTTGTGTTTACAGTTCGGAAAGGTCATTTTCAATACTGTATTAGAGAATGATATATGGTTGCTCATAGGCTAGCTCAAAGTGGTAGAGAGGATCAACAAGCTCTGTGGTTGGACTCCCCCCTAGTTTTATTTCGGTTTTACTTGCGGACGATGTAAGCATTTGTTTAAGTTAATAAAGCTAACCTGATGGCCTTTCCCTCAAAAAAACACATGCCATTGCATTCTCCACTAGAATCTAGGTTGGTCATTTTTCGTGAAGTCTAGGTCTCACACCAACACAAGAAGCATATTGAAATTGATCTTTACTTTGTGCAGGACCGTGTCTCACTGGGCCACATTCACGTATTCCATGTACCATATTCTCACCAGTTTGCCGACATGTTCATTAAAGGGCTGCCATCAGCTCATCACCATTGTGACTTCCTCTATAGTTTCATTGTCTGAGAATCCCCGTTGTGACTGTGAGGGAGTGTTAGGCAACCGAATATCTATATGAAACTCAGTGATTTTTCTTTACCATATTTTGTGTCTGATAATATTTTTAAACACGGTACAATTGCATGTGCTCACATGAACTCATCCCTATGAACACACATGCACACCCTACAATATGAGCCTTCCGACATACTGAGCTGACACAATAGCTTGAGATTAACGAAGTCAACACAGGTGCCTCGTAGTCGACAGAAACATCTCCTCTCATTGAACGAACATCGTCGAAAAGCCTGAAATAAATCCAGAAAAATGTGAGCACTAGCGTCAAGTCTGGACTTCAACCCTGGTGGGCTGGTTCCACTACAAAGAACCTAATCATCTAAGCTACGGTTCGTTCCCTTGTGTCTGATAATATAGCATGTAATCAGGACATTATGGTTAGAACTTGATTGGGTTTATTCATTGTAACGCCCTCGATGCGGCTATATCTCTCACGTGTCGAAGCACGACTTAGAGGCATAACCGCATTGAAAGCAATGTCGCAAGTGAGGTAATCTTCGCAAACAACCCATGTAATACAATAGGGGAAAAATACATAGTTGGCTTACAATCGCCACTTCACACAATACATGAATACAACATTACAACAATCAAATACAATCAAGGTCCGACTACGGAACCAAAATAAAAGAAGAACCCCAAAAGCGACAAGGTCCCCGATTGACCCCAACTGGGCTCCACTACTGATCAACTAGAACGAAACAACACAAAGGACAAGATCTTCATCGAGCTCCTCCTGAGCTTGGTTGCGTCATCTGCACGGACTCAACGGCACCTGCAAACTGGTTTTGAAAGTATCTGTGAGTCACAGGGACTCAGCAATCTCACACCCTCGCGATCAAGACTATTTAAGCTTATGGGTAAGGTAAAGGTATGAGGTGGAGCTGCAGCAAGCGACTAGCATATATGGTGGCTAACATACGCAAATGAGAGCGAGAAGAGAAGGCAAAGCACGATCGAGAAACTATGATCAAGAAGTGATCCTAGAACAACCTACGTCAAGCATTACTCCAACACCGTGTTCACTTCCCGGACTCCGCCGGAAAGAGACCATCACGGTTACACACGCGTTTGATGTGTTTTAATTAAGGTCAACTTCAGGTTTTCTACAACCGGACATTAACAAATTCCCATCTGCCCATAACCGCGGGCACGGCTTTCGAAAGTTCAAATCCCTGCAGGGGTGTCCCAACTTAGCCCATGACAAGCTCTCACGGTCAACGAAGGATATTCCTTCTAGCGGGAAGACCCGATCAGACTCGGAATCCCGGTTACAAGACATTTCGACAAGGTAAAACTAAACCACCAACACCGCCTGAATGTGCCGACAAATCCCGATAGGAGCTGCACATATCTCTTTCTCAGGGCACACTCAGATTGTCTTAGGTACGGGTAGGCCAGCCCAGAGTTGCCCCTGGTGGCCACCGACAGCTGACAGGTTGGACCAACACTCAGAGGAGCACTGGCCCGGGGGGGTTAAAATAAAGATGACCCTTGAGTCTGCAGAACCCAAGGGAAAGAAAAGGCTAGGTGACAAATGGTAAAACCAATGTTGAGCATTGCTGGAGGAGTTTTACTCAAGGCGAATTGTCAAGGGGTTCCCATTATTACCCAACCGCGTAAGGAACGAAAAATCCGGGAACATAACACTGATATGACGGAAACTAGGGCGGCAAGAGTGAAACAAAACAGTAGGCATAAGGCCGAGCCTTCCACCCTTTACCAAGTATATAGATGCATTAATTAAATAAGATATATTGTGATATCCCAACAAGTAAACATGTTCCAACAAGGAACAACATCTCCATGTTCTAACAAGGAACAAACTTCAATCTTCACCTGCAACTAACAACGCTATAAGAGGGGCTGAGCAAAGCGGCAACATAGCCAAACAACGATTTGCTAGGACAAGGTGGGTTAGAGGCTTGGTTCAACAATATGGGTGGCATGATAAGAAAGTGGTAGGTATCGCAGCATAGGCATAGCAAAAGAGCGAGCAACTAAGCAAGCAAAGATAAAAGTGATTTCGAGGGTATGGTCATCTTGCCTGAAATCCTGCAAGGAAGAAGAACGAGTCCATGAGGAAGACAAACGGGCGTAGGCGAACGAGTCCTCACAAACACGACGTTACCGAAACCAATCCGAAGAAGCAAACACTGGAAAGAAGCAAACAACATAGTAAAACATCCACCACATAAACATGGCATGATGCACAATCAAGTATGATGCATGTCCGGTTTAAAGAAGCATGGCATGGCAAAGCGCAACAAACAACCCTACAAATTAAGTGGAGCTCAATATGCAATGAGTTGCATAGTGACGAAACACCACAACAAGTTTTTTAGTTCGATCTCATTTATGTACCCAACAATATTAAATGTTCTTAACA